ACAATACTCAATCAACACCCAGCCCTTTTCTCCCACATCATCAATCACGTGAACCAATCACCCTTCAACTACAATTCTTGCTGCGCAATAAAGAATTACCTTGATAGTCTTACGTATCTGTTATGTCTACTGAAAATTACTCAAATAACAACAGCCCCCCATTCCATCCTCCATATCTGTGTGGCAGCTTTTAATAGGAATTCCAAAGCTGACAGGATATAAAGAGTCTGTAAATATTTTTACAACCCTCTTTTTGACTCTGTGCAGTATACAGGTCCTTGATGGAATGCAAGGTTGGTAGTAATTGTTTTTGTTGTGGCTTAAACCATATTCCTAACTAGAAAAATATAAGCCGCCTTCTAAATGAGCTGATAAGGCATTTAGAAAACAACACTTTCAGCTGGAGACATCATCATGTTCCTCATTTCACCTAACATTCTCCAAATTTCCAGATATTGTTAATCAGCTACCTACAAGCCTAGTTAATAAGAAGGTGACATGGTAGATTTAAGAGAAGAAGAAGAAAAGGCCAGTTAGTATCCTTCACTAACTAATGTCCTTCTGGTCTCCTTCAACACAATCCCACTAAGAGAAGGCAATTTTGGTACCCTTGGCCTCCAGAGTAAAACAAGTTACCATAGTTACCATAAATGCAAGAGCTCAGACTAGATCTTGTGGAAGTTGGATTTGTTGCCATGCATTGATGATAATCCAAAAACTACTGACTTATATACAGTAGCTGCAAAATGTAGATGACTCTTCGGCATTCTTTTGAGAGCCAGCATATTCATCACTAAATCCGCCAAGGAATAGACCAAGCAGATAACCAAATCTCAAAGGTAGAAGATGCTAGATTATCCCAATGCATCTCATTGGCTCAGTGTACTGCTTCAGATGGTAGACAATTGGATCCCCTAAGCCTCCAAAAGAAAACCCATATCTTATGTATAGAGGTGCCTATATAGCCTCTGTACCTGGACTTTTGTTTAGATAATATGACAGGTGGGGTCCTTGCTGCTGTCTGACTTTAATGGTTTTCTTGCAGACGTTTCATCGTTTATTTTTATTTTATTTATTTATTTGATTTGTCAATCACTTACAAGGTAACAGGTATAAGTATAAACATAGTTTTGAATACATGAAATGGATGCATATAAGAAAAATAAAAAGAAACAATAGGACAGGGATGGTAGGCACGATTGGTGCGCTACAGGCCGCTTAGGAAAGCGGTGAGGTCAATAGCACTGATGATGTTATCTAGTTTGGTAGTGAAACGTCTGCAAGAAAACCACCAAGCTTAGAGAACACCAAGGACCCCGCCTCTCCTGCTATCTAAACAAAAGTTCAACCCTGAGCTACAAATATTCTTGTATATAGTTGTAAATGCTCCAACACTGGAAGTTTTTAAGAAGAGATCGGATAACCATTTGTCTGAAGCGGTGTAGGGTTTCCTGCCTAAGCAGGGGGTTGGACTAGAAGACCTCCAAGGTCCCTTCCAACTCTGTTATTCTCTTCTACTCTACTTCTATTCATTTTCTACTCTATTCTACTCTGTTCTGTTCTGTTCCATTCCATTCTGTTCTGTTCTGTTCTACCAGTATGACAGGTGATTGTTAAACACTTCTCAAAAGCTGCTACTCTAATGACCACCATTGCCTTTTGGACTTTTCAAAAATCAGAAGTTCAACTAAGAAAGCAAAACATTTTCAAAGGAATTCTGACCAGCCTTCTCTTATTTGTTCTGTCCTTGATAAGAGAACACTGTTAATATCTAACCAACTTAAATGAAGAAAATTCCCCTTTTAAGCTGTCTTATATTAATAAGTTCTGTGTTGCATGAAAATGTATAGATGGATGGATGGATGGATGGATGGATGGATAGATAGATAGATAGATAGATAGATAGATAGATAGATAGATAGATATTTCCTGTGATTTCCCTTGAATATCTTTTATTCTCCATAACACCAAGAGGCTAAGCTAGGACAGCCATTAGCTTAATGCCAACACTGGGAAATAACATTTCTTAGCAGATTTTATATTAAAAAACACACCTCTGTATAAGCACGCACAATCTTGGTGGGAACAATGGAATCACAGCATTTCTTCCTTGTTGACCAGGAAACACTTTTGTATTGTGCACAACATGATATTAATATGTATTGGAGTTTGCCTACTCAGCAAAAGAGCATTTCAGGGCAAGGATCTTGGGATCTAAATTGTATAAGAGAAGGTGTTAGGAATCTGTCCACCAATTAGTTGGGTTGGCAATATATAAACCAGCAATGTATGTTTGTAGCTTTAAGACAAAGTTACTGTATTGATTTGTACTATGTTCCGATTGGTTGATTGTATTGTGAATTGCCATAAGAGGGAGCTAGAGATCATGGCTTGCTCTCTCTGACATTCTGTATCTCTGACATTCTGTTGCTATCTAAAGTTCTCTGTTGTATTTATGCTGTGCTTATACTTTGATATGTTTGTTTACTGGAAATGACAAAGGCAACCAGTAAGAAGACTTTGTAATTGGATATTCTTTGGACTGTAAAACATATATGACCTGGACTGTTTATTGGACTGTCCTATTTCTTAAAGTAAACTTTAACTCAATTTAGTGTATCTGTGTATGACTGAATAATTATTCATAACTATTCTCATAAACATTTCAATGTGCATATCCTTGTTACTCAAGGGTTATTCTGTACATATCACAACAGAAGGTTTTAATTTTTTCTTCCTTGTAAGATCCAAAGCTGTGTTTTTGAGACAGTGGCACCACTCATGTGTGAAAGATTTGGTAAGCTGCAAAATTTTCATCATTTGTGAAGTCCATATCTCCTGACCAAACAAGGAAATATTATGTCTTCTCCTCCCATTGTTTGTTCTTTTATTGTTTATTCAAAGTCCATTGACAAACTTTCTTTGGCAATTTTTCCTGTTACTTTGTTTCTATATTTTTTTATTTATTTCCAAGGTTAAAATACAGAGCAAAAGAAGAAGAAAAGAATTACAATACAAAAACAGAGACAAAAAAAAGTGTTGAAAAACAAAATATCAAGCATACAGACAAAATGTTGAACATTGATAAATTTATTTCAGCAACAAGAATTAATCCCCCTCTTGTAGAACAAGTCGCCAATCTATAAATGCCTACCTCTATATTTGTATAATCGCTATATAACATTAGAAAAAAATCACAATTGTAGAAAACTTATCATCAGTCAAGCAATTTGACCTACTATCTATCTACTAAAACAAGACAGTTAACAGGTGGTCCCAATCACTAAAATTGGCAATTTTTCCTAAGTTAATCTTAAAAATTGCTTAGACTACATTGTTTATACCAATTTCACTACAGTTATTTTGGATACCCACGGCCAATTGGAATGTTTCCAAGGAGGGGATCTATATTATTGCAATAAAAGCATATCTCTCCTTTATCACAGTTTCATGAGGAAGCGCAAAACTCACATATTTTTCCAGGCCTTTTAATGTTGCTGTCTGCAGCTTTTGTGTTGATGTACGTTAGGTTTATTGCTACTTTTATAGCTGTTTTCCTCGTATCTTGTAATCTAGCCAACATCACTAAGGGAGTGTGTGTGCAGTGGCTAACTTTTCTAAAGGAATAAATCAAATAGGAGGAATATTTTATTTTATTTTATATTATTTTATTTTATTTTACTTTATTTTATTTTATTTTTTGATTTTATTTTATTTTATTTTATTATTTTATTTTATTTTATTTTATTTTATTTTATTATTTATTTTATTTTATTTTATTTTATTTTATTTTATTTTATTTTATTTTATTTTATTTTATTTTATTTTATTTTATTTTGTCAAGCAATTATAAGATAACAGGTATAAGTATAAACATAGTTATGAACACATGAAATGGATAGATATAAGAAAAAACAATAGGACAGGGATGGTAGGCACATTGGTGAGCTGCATGTATTTCGGAGCGGGAACAATTGGGAAACTGGAAGCCAGGGCAATAACTGTCCTTGATTGTAGTTTAACTACAGTTTAACTCGAAAGGAGAGTTATGGAGAAACATAACAAGCAGCCCTCAAATTATGAGCACTTTTGGAATTAGAATTTCTGTTGCTAAGCAAAGTGCTCGTTCAATGAGTCATGCATGATTTTATGACATTTTTTGCCACGGTTCTTCAGTAAATCACATGGTTGTTTAGCGAAACCAGCTTTCTCTATTGATTTTGCTTGTTGGAAACCAGCAAGGAAGGCTGCAGATGGCAATCACACAACCATGGGCTGCTGTAACCATTGTAAATACAGGTAGTCCTCAACGTACGACCCCAACTGAGCCCAACATTTCTGTCACTAAGTGAGGAGTGGTGCGGTGGCCTAGAAGTGGAGTTCTCACCTCACAATCAGGAGGCTACGAGTTTGATCCTAGGAAGAGACAGATATTTCTCTCTCTGGGCACAATGAGGATATCTCTGCTGAAGAAAACTCTGCATTGGTGACAGGAAGGGCATCCGGCCAGGGGTGGGATTCAACCGGTGTTACTACCGGTTTGGTGACTACATTTTGCGCATGACTGGGGAATTCTGGGAGTTGAAGTCCAGACAGTCACCAAGGTTGAGAAACACTGCATTTGGGGCTGTGTGCTGCTTTCTCTCATGCTTCACTGTCCAAAATTTGCCACATTTCCTTGTCTGGATGGAGAAGAGGGTGCCCCTCTTCCTCCATTTTGAACCCCTTCTTTGCGGAAGCTGTAGGAACTGAAAACAGCAGCATGTCATAAGTTGGCACGAAGACCGAAGAACTGTAAATCACTTTAAGGAAGAACAAAAGCAAAATAAGCTTCTGGGAATGGGATAAATGGCAAAACAGAATGGCCAAGATTTTATTTTAAAACTAAGGAGGGGGACTGGAAAGGATTAGTTGCCTTTTAAAGAAGGGATTAGCTTCCTTTTAAAGGAGAGTAGTGCAGATATGGAAGAGTTTCGGCTAAGCCAGAATGCAAAGAACACTTTTGTGAAAGGGAATGCAAATTGAATTAGTGGCTGGGAACTATAGGAGTTGTAGTTGAAGGGGTTGGAGATAGAACCTGGAGACAGATTGCATTCCCTCAAAACGACGCTATAGAGCACTGCACAACAGAACAACTAGACACAAGGACAGTTTCCCCCCGAATGCCATCACTCTGCTAAACAAATAATTCCCTCAACACTGTTCAACTATTACAAAGTCTGCACTACTATTACTGTTAATCTTCTCATCATTCCTTTAACCCATCCCCTCCCACTTATGACTGTATGACTGTAACTTTGTCACTTTATATTGACTGTTTCCTAGTATGATTTGATTGCTTATTGTACCGTATGACTATCATTAAGTGTTGTACCTGATGATTCTTGACTCTTGACGAATGTATCTTTTCTTTTATGTACACTGAGAGCATTTGCACCAAGACAAATTCTTTATGTGTCTAATCACACTTGGCCAATAAAGAATTCTATTACTATTCTATTCTATTCTATTCTATTCTATTCTATTCTATTCTATTCTATTCTATTACTATTCTATTACTATTCTATTCTGTTCTATTACTGTTCTGTTCTATTCTATTCTATTCTGTTCTGTTCTGTTCTGTTCTATTCTACAGATATGAACTGCCAATCTGTGCTCACCTTAAGATTTTGTTCCTCTTGTGTGTAGCTTTAAGGGGGGGAGTTGTGAGAAGTCAACTTCATTGTACAGACAGTTCTCAACTTATGACCATTCAATTAAGCAGCCCCACTTTCTGAGGCACACCATGTTACACAGAATGACAGCAACAGGGAAAGCTGGAATTGCATGGCTGTCTTGCTTAAAAACAGCAACCGCTTCATTTCATGACTAATTCTGGACTCGGTTTTGATCATAAGTTAAGGACTACCTGTATTTTTCAAATCCTTGTTTTTATCTTTGATTTGGTTTGTAGGCAGCATTGTTGGAATACTAAATTTAGAATTAACAGTGCTTTTTTTGTATATCAAAAGAGGACATTGTGAGTTTTGTTTGACTGGACTATATTTCTTTTTTCTTTTTTGACAGCACGTATATCCCTGTTCCTCGTAAGATCAAAGTCAACAAAGACAAGGTGAGTCCGGAACTTTTTCTCTATAAGGAAAGGGCAAATCCAGTTCACTTAGAGATGAGGAACAATAGCCCCTTTAAGACTTCTGGACTTCAACTCCCAGAATTCCTGGGCCAGCATGACTGGCTCAGGAATTCTGGGAGTTGAAGTCCACAAGTCGTAAAGAGGCCATTTTTCTTCACCCCTGATCTAAACTATTTTTTCATCAGATGATGAAATCCCCTTTATTCCATTTCCACATTTGAGGCAAGAAGTTAAATTTGGTGCTTCCATTTTTATTCAAACCATGGCTTGCGGTTGAATCCATTCTAACTATCCGGTTCGGGTCATTCCCTGCCAGCTCAATTGTTTCTTGCAGAGATAATCCTCATTTTTACAACCATAACTGAGCCCATGCCAATCGTTAAGCTGGTCATCCCATGACAATTTTACTACTTTTTGTGGCCGTCATTAAATGAATGCCAAAATTGTTGTATGAATGTCCACAATGGGCTTTTTTTTTTTTTTTTTTTTGAGGGGGGCCTGGAAATTGGAAGTGAACACCAGTTTCTGGTAAAAAAAAAAGAACAACAACACATACACCATAAATTTTGGTCATGTGACCAAGGAAAGCTGCAAATATGGGTTTCCAAGCACCCAATGTGTGATCTCATGAACACTGAGACACAGTGGCCAGAATTTCAAATCTGGGGTGTAAATACCTTTCTTGAGCCTGTAACCTCTTCTTATTTGATTCAAGAACTGTGCAGTGGGTAACACAACACAACGAAACAGACTTTTTTTTATTTAAAAAAAAAAAGAGGAAAATCCTAATTCTTCTGCGCATCCAGACAGCTTGTTCAAACAAAGGAGGGCTGCAGGGAAACTCATTTGCTATGAAAGATAAAGGCGATGCGTTTAGCAGAAGAAGATCAGGTTAATAAATAAAATATGTTTTGAATTCTACGGAAGCCCTCTCTTGAGTTTTTTGCTTGTTGCTGTCTAATAGGTTCAGATGTTCAAACAAGCTTCAGCCTAGCAGGTACATAACAGGATGTCCTTGGCTGCCTATATTAAAATGCAAATTAGGCTGTCTTCCTAAGTGGATGGAACAACCCTTATTTTTGCATCCAAAGATACACACACAAACACACACATCCTTGTTCATGAGTAACCTACAGGATGCCTGACACTGAAAACTCAGGAGTGAAAATTCACCTCCCCGACTGACTGGCTGAACTCAACTTGGTTAAAATGATTGGCTGAGGTTACAGAACTCAACTTGGTTAAAATGGGTAGACTGAGAAGGCTAAATTTGTAACTTGAGACAAGTTGAGTTTCGTTACATGCTGGATTTGGGCAAATTGGAATTTGGTAGCTATTGTTCGTTGCATGGTAGGATATGTTCATGGTATTGTAGAAAGCCCACCATTACCTTAGCATGTGATGTGACTGCGATCATCATGGAAACATCATCATGCAATTGATTTCTCTGGAGATAGCATTTTATGTGAACACTGGAAGCAAGTTGCTTCACCCAAGTCTAACATGGTGTGGGAATGCAGTGATTGTGTTGGAACGTCTGTGGAGATTGTCAATCATCCAGGTCATGGTTGTCCCAAAAGTGCTTTTTCCAGAAGGCAACTAGACTTTCTTGGTTTGTCTCTTTGAAAAATATTTCTCTTCTCATCCAAGAAGCTTCTTCAGTTCCAAACTGAACTTCAGAACTAAAGAAGCTTCTTGGATGAGAAGCAAAATGTTTTTCAAAAAAAAAAAAAAACCAAAGGAAGTCCACTTGCCCTTTTAGGTAAAGCACCTTTTGGGACATTATTGTGGTGGAATGCAGACTGGATTCCCAGGAGGGACAAGCTGAATTCCAGAGGACCAAGAGACAGCAAAGTTTACATATGTTGGTTGGGTGGAAGTCCCTAGAAGTTCTCAAAGTACTATATATTTTAGTGATGTAAGTAATTGTTTTAGTTTGGCAAGATTTCTGTGTTTGATGACAAACAATAAAGTCTGTTTCTGTTGGTCTCCTCTTGGAGGAGGTTTCAAAGTATTTCTAGCAGGACTACCAGATTCTGTAACAGTTTTGTTCCCTATGCCATCCGTCTGGTAAATTTGAAAGATTCATTTTTCTCGCATGTACATGTATACATCCGAACTAGACTGGGTTGTTTCTGTCTGTCATATAATACATGTACATAATTTTGTATGTATTTATTGTGTTATGTTTATGTGCACAGCATGCAATTCCAGGGACCATCTTCCCAATATATTGGAGGTAGAGACCCTTGGAGAGCTGTATGCAATAAGATTTCATTTTAATGTGTGCTGATTAGTGTACATTCAAAGTGACAATAAGGTTATTTTAGTCTACCCTTAAAGGAAATTGCTTAGAAGGAATACAACTTGTCTTTGGATTTTGGAGCCTGACAATTATTGTTCAATTATGTTTGCAGCCTGTGATCTGAATGAACTAAGTAAGGTGGCAAGATATTTTTTTAATCACCTTATGTCCGTTTTCTCCTCCGTAATCTTGTAATTCCCAGAACAAGCACAGATTGCATTCATCTATAAGACAGATTCTAAAAACTATGCTCTCTCCTAAGGGGAAAGTTCAGGTTTGCACAGCATGCAGTTCCAGGGACCATCTTGCCAAATTAACGGTGGCATCTGAATGGTTTAAACCAGAGATTAATTTTGAAGAAAATTGCAGGATAGACTTTATTAAAAACTTTCCCCAATAGAGGCAGGGATAGAGTAGAGTTCAATTGCTAAGAAAGTGTTGCTGTGGCACCACCTACAGGCAGCAGAGAGAACAGCCCAGTTGCCCCTTAAAACTTGGGTCAAAGTGAAAAATGCGATCCTTCCAAATTTCAGTTTCCCCCTAATTTTATCCTTGAGAAGAATGCTGTGAGGTATGATTCCTCGGGCTTCTATTTTCACAGGGATAAAATTATGGAAGACCTTATAGATACTATCCTGAACTTCCCAGAATAGCAACCACAAAAACAGGATACAATCAATCAATTATTATTATTATTTTAAAAAGCAAGCTGGCATCCTGTACAGGGCTGACATCTAGCATCTCCATTATTTCCAAAAAAAAAAAACATGTCTTGGGCCCTAGAAAGATTTTCCTTCTGGGCATTCTCAGAAAATTAGAAGTGAAATTTGCTTCTTCAGGTTCTTCACCCAAATAAAAAAATAAGCTGAAGAGGTGTCAAAGGCAGGATGTGGCAGGAAACAATTTAGAGAATAATAAAATTGTCAACTTGGAAAGGACCAACCCTCTGTAGTATGCAGGATAATCTCTCTCTGTCTCTCTCTGTGTGTGTGTCTCTGTGTCTCTCTCGCTGTCTCTCTGTCTCTGTCTCTCTGTCTGTCTGTCTGTCTCTCTCACACACACATACACACATGAGAGAGAAAGAAAGAGACAGACAGACACAGAGAAAGAGACAGACAGACAGACAGACACACACACACACACACAGAGAGAGAGAGAGAGAGAGAGACTGGCTTTCTTAACAACCACCAGTGATTTAAAAACTTGAGAATGAATTTGAATGAGTTTGCTTTAATTCACTAGCAGCCATTCCACATTATATCTACCCACAATCCACATTACATCTGTCATTCTTGTGGGAGCCGCCACTCGCTGCATTCCAAATTCCAGATGTGCTCATGGGCCCTGAAAAGATAGGCCCCATCTCACTGAATTCTGATTGACAGCTGAGGCCTTCCAGGCATCTGGAAAGCTGCTTTAGTTGGTCTTTAGCAGATTCTCTGGATCGCTAATGTTTTACATATACAACGAGCAGTTTCCTGTACTGTCTTCTGGCAGAATAAAAGTTGATTAATGATTGATTTATTAAGTGTTCTACCCTCTTGCCGAGCAACTCTAGGTAGCTAAGGGGTTAAAAAAAATCATTGGAAAATACAAACATCAGCAAAGGCACATATTGCACAGAGGACAGTAATCTCTTGTCATTGTCAGCCATACAGTCATGATCAACATATTGCACAGAGGACAATAATCCACATATTGCATATTAACAGTAATAGCAATAACCCTTAGACTTATATACTGTCCCATAGTGCTTTAGAGCACTCATTTTTACTGGCCTCAGAAGCAGCAGTGGTGCCTGTTGCACTACCGGTTCAGTGATCGGGCGTGAGCGTGCACCTAACACATGCGTGCAGCTTTCCCCATGCCAGATGAGGCCTGCAGTGCCAATCAGCTGAAAGGATAAAGAAGAGAAAAGCACAGGGGGAGGTGGGAGGGCCAATCCTGCGCTTTTCTCTTCTTTCTCTTTTCAGCTGATCCTCGGAGGTTTTTTTACTACCAGTTCGGCCAAACCAGTCCAAACCGGTGGCATACCACCACTGCTCAGAAGGATGGAAAACTGAGTCAACTTTGAGCTAGTCAGGATCAAACTCATGGCATTAGGCAGAGTTAACCTACAATACTGCATCCTAATCACTGCACCACCAGGGCTCCTCTTTTTTTGTTTTTTTGTTTTAGAATAGAATAGAATTCTTTATGGGCCAAGTGTGATTGGACACACAAGGAATTTGTCTTGGTGTAAATACTCTCAGTGTACATAAAGAAAAGGTACATTCATTAAGAATCAAGAATCATAAGGTACAACACTTAATGATAGTCATAGGGTACAATCAACAAACAAATCATACCAGGAAACAGTCAATATAAATCGTAAGGATACAAGCGACAAAGTTACAGTCACAAGTGGGAGGGGTGGGTGATAAGGAGTGATGAGAAAATTAACAGTAATAGTAGTGCACACTTTGTAAATAGTTGAACAGTGTTGAGAGAATTATTTGTTTAGCAGAGTGATGGCTTTCGGGGAAAAAACTGTTCCTGTGTCTAGTTGTTCTGGTGTGCACTCTTCATGGTTCATACAACATCCTGCCTCAGGGCCAGAGAAAAACCAGATCTCAAAGACTTTTCCAAAGGCCAGAAGGATCAGGCCACCTGAATCTCAGGAGGGAGGGGTGTTGTTCTATGGGGAAGGTGCACCAACAGAGAAGGCCTACTTCTTGTAGTACATCCCATAAGAACACACTTGACTAGATAGGACTCCGAAATTACCAATCCTGGCCAAACCTGTGGGGTGAGCACAGATAATTGGAGATAGATGGTCCTATAGATAAGCTGGCCTACTTGGAGTCAGTGCAACTCAACAATGGAAGTGTTGTGGTTATAGAGTTGTGTCCATAAAGTCTTGCGCTGCCCCATTCTGGACCACCTGTAGCTTCTGAGTGGTCTTGAAAGAACAGGAATCTAAACTGACGCCATCTTTCTATTCAGCTTGCAAATTTATAGCTTTCAAGGGCAGCCCCTTGTGGGGCACATTGCAATAATCCAAACAATAATCCTAGTTGATGATTCTGATGGATAGTTTGGGTTTGGGCCTTTGGTGGCATCACTTGCCAAAACTGTGACTGGATTCTCTGTGCTTGCAAATTATTGGGTTGTTTTTTTTAAATTATTATTATGATTTATCATTCCTAGCTGATTATTCTGAAGGACAGTTTGGATTTTGGCCATTGGTGGCATCACCTGCCAACACTGGATTTTCTGTGCTTATAAATTATTGGTTTCTTAGAAACTCGGCTCTGTTATTATGCTAAAATCCGAGATAGGAAAAGCTACCTAAGCAAGATTTTTCATACAACAGTGTATTTTTTTTTCCTTTCATCCCCTTTCTTTTTCAACATCCTGCACAATCCACTTCTAGCCCTTGATGATAGGATATGTAAAATAAATACTGTTTTTCAAATCTGGGTCCTACTTGTTTCAAAAAGCATTGTATTTAATTTCCTTCAACGACAGACTTTTATTCAAGATCCCCAAAATGAAGAGCATTTCTTCAGTGTTCAACTGTTTGTTGAAGATATACAAAACTTGCCAATTGGGGAAGAGAGCACATTTTGTACATGCCTAGAATTTGCTGTGGGTTTTTTTTTAATGCTGAATTATCTCCCTAATTAAAATAACAGGATATGTTCTTTCATTCTGTGCAGATCATGGTTTATCATCCTAGTTTTATGAAATATGTTTATGACAACTGGCTCCAACAACACGGGAGGTATCCCTCAACTGGCTTCCTGTCAATTATCTTTGCCCTTCACCTCTGTGATGAGGTAAGTAAGGCTACCTTCAGAAAAAGTGGGAGAAAACCTGGTTTGCATGGTGACCTGCATGGACTTGATGACCTAGCCTTTGATCAAGTTGACCCTTAAACACCTAGAACAAACAAAACAAAAGTTGAGTCTTTCGGAAAAAGTGCAAAGAAGAGCAACTGAGATGGTTAAAGGCCTGGAGACTAAAATATATGAAGAATGGCTGCAGGATTTGGGTTTGGCTAGTCTAGAGAAAAGAAGGAATTGGGGGGGGGGGGCATGATATCAGTATTCCAGTATTTGAAAGGCTGCCACAAAGAGGAGGGGGGTCAATTTATTTTCCTAAGCACCAGAAGGCAGGACAAAAAAAACAATGGATAGAAACTAATCAAGGAGAGAAGCAACCTGGAATGAAGGAGAGCTTGAAGTCAATTTAAGAATAACCCTGGTGGATCTTGCAATGAGAAGCTCCCAAGCCAGGATCCAAAAGTATCTGCAGTATGGTCAAAAAAGTCAGGATGGTAGCCACGATGATGTGATCAAAGTTCTGTCTGCTTTTTTAGGGGCATTGCTATGTTTACTGCTTGGACCACACTCTGCAGGTCTTGGAGTTCTAGTTGGACATTAATCATGAGCAAGCAGTATGCAGCAGCTGCCAAAAAGGCTAATACAATCCTTGGTTGTATAAATCACAGAATCAAAATCACGTGAAGTGTTAGTACCACTTTATAAAGCCTTAGTAAAGCCACACCTGGAATGCTGCATCCAGTTTTGGTCACTGCAGGCTGCCACAAAGAGGAGAAGGTCAATTTATTTTCCAAAGCACCAGAGGGCAGGATAAGAAACCATAGATGGAGACTAATCAAGGAGAGAAGCAACCTGGAATTAAGGAGAAACTTCCAAACAGAGAGAACAATTAAGCAGTGGAACAACTTGCCCTCAGAAGTTTTTAAGAATAGACTGGACAGTCACTTGTCTGAAATGATATAAGATCTTCCACTTGAGCAGAGAGCTGGACTAGAAGACCTCCAAGGTCCCTTCCAGCTCTATTCTGATTCATATTCAGAAAAAAAAACACCTACTTTTTAAAATTTTTCCACACACTCTGTTCCCATTACTTCATTATCCTGATGAAGCTATTCCTTATTTTCCGTACATTCATCTCAAGCTACTGTTTCATTTCAGCTGTCGGCATCATCGCCTTCTTTAGACAGAAAGAATTGTACTTCAACAACACCTTGAGGGTGGTAGGTGGCTAACCTCCTACTAAATCATGTTTTCTTCTCCCAGGGAGCCTACGTAATTTTGAAAAACAATATCTTCAGTTGCAAAAGAGGGGGCTAACATTGTCTTGTGGTTGTCATGGTTACTTCAGCAATACCTGCAAAAGGAATAATGGAGGGGTAGAATCAAGATCACGTGAAGTTTAGTACCGCTCTACAAAGCCTTAGTAATAGCACACTTGGAATACCGCATCCAGTTCTGGTCACCACAGTATAAAAAAAAAAAGATGTTGAGACTCTGGAAAGAGAAGAGTAGCAAAGACGATTAGAAGGCTGGAAGCTAAAGGATTACAGTAATGGCAACAGGTTGTGTGGGAAAACATTTTGAAAAGGGTATTTAAGGGTCAACTTGGTTGGGTCATCAGGTCAATGCAAGTGACAGAAATTGGGTATGTCTAGTGTAACAAAAAGGAGTACGGGACATATTTAACAGATAATCAGAGTTGGAAGGTACCTTATAGGTCATCTAGTCCAACCCCCCACCCAAACAGGAGACCTTATACCACTTCTGACAAATGGCAATCCAATCTCTTCTTGGAAGTCTCAATTGATGGCACTCCCACAACTTCTGAGGGCAACTCCTGTTCCATTGGTTGATTGTTCTCACTGTCAGAAAGTTTCTCCTTATTTCCTTCCAGGTTAAATCTCTCCTTGTTCAGTTTCCATCTATTTATTCCTTGTCTGGCCTACAGGCGCTTTAGAAAATAGCTTGACCCTTTCTTCTCTGTGGCAGCCCCTCAAATATTGGAACAGTGCTATCATGTCTCCCCTGGTCCTTCTCTTCACTAGACTAGCCCTGCCCAGTTCCTGCAACTGTTCTTCGTATGTTTTAGCCTCCAGCCCCCTAATCATCCTGGTTGCTCTTCTCTGCATTTTTCCTAGAGTCTCAACATCTTTTTTATAATGTGACCAAAACTGGATGTGATAGCAGTGTTCCAATATTTGAGGGGCTCCTACAAAGATCAAACTATTTTCCAAAGCACCAAAAGGCAAGATGAGAAATAATGGATGGAAACTAACCAAGGAGAGAACCAACCTAGAACTAAGAAGAAAATTCCTAACAGTTAGAGCAACCAACCAACGGAATAGCTATAGCTTGCCTTCAGAAGTTGTAGGTGCTCCATCACTGGAGGCTTTCAAAAAGAGACTGTACAACCATTTGTCTGAAATAGTTTACTTGAGCAGGGGGTTGGACTAGAAGGCCTCCAAGATCCCTTCCCACTCTATTCTATGCTCTAAGATTGATAGAAATATTAGAAATAAGGAAAATGAAATCCACTTAAGAACCAAACTTTGCACAGTTCTCTTTTTCCCCCTGTCCATTCTTTCTCTGTAGTTGAGTGGTGCAGTGAGTGGCCTAGATGGGAAGCTCTCACCTCACAATCAGGAGGCTCCTAGTTCACTCCTAGTTAGAGTCAGATATTTCTCTCTGGGCATACTGAGAATTTATCTGCTGAATAAAATTCTGTATTGGTTACAGGAAGGGCATCCGGCCATTAAAACACTCTGCTAGTTCCATTCAGTTGCCCAGACTCCACCCCGCTAGGGATTATGGGGTCATTAAAAGGAGATGGTGATGATTCTTTCTCCATAGGTGGATCTCTACGGCTTTGGGGCAGACAGTAAAGGCAACTGGCACCACTATTGGGAGAACAATCCTTCTGCAGGCGCCTTCCGTCAAACCGGCGTCCACGATGGAGACTTTGAGGCCAACGTGACACAAACCCTCGCCTCCGCAGCCAAAGTACGGTTCTTCAAGGGCAGATGACCCCGGCGGTCAGACAAGCGCTGATCTCTGACAAGAAGAAAAGGCAGATGTTTTAAAATAAATGGAGTCTTGGAGGGGGCAGTCTGTCAAGTCTCAGCCGAGAAAGCTTCGAAGAACTGCAAGCTGCAATTAGCTTTGAAAGGCCCCTCAAATAACGGTTTCGAAGTTTTGACAGCGTAGGGAAAAAATGCCCAATTTGGAAAGGAATGTCCTGTTCGAGACGTTCCTATTGTAACTAATGTTTTAATTCCTTTTCCGTTGTCAGAATGACTGGGCCTTCAGCCCTACAAAAAAAAAAAAAAAAAGGAGGGGTGGGCAAACACCGTCTTGGTTTCAAAATTACCTCAGAAGAGCTTTGTTCCAATCATGGTCTTTTCTCTGAAGGATCCCGGCAAGGCCAAAAACAACCCTAACCAGTTCTTGTTCAGTGGTATGAACAAGATGGTGGTGGCCTGGGAGCTAAAAGGGTTTTGCTTTGTGTCATTTGGTGTTTTGGGCTATTGAAATGAAATGTTCCAGGTAATATTACCATTGCTATTTCATGTGGCTACAAGCCCAGGAGCGGAGGAGCAGGGCTCAAAGGGAAATAATGCAGGATGGGCAGGTTAAATGCTTTTATTTACTTTATATATACATATAAAGCAGAGAAAGGAATTAACGTTGCACACAAACGCATACACACAAGGACACGCTCCAATGCAGTGCAAGAGCTGGGTTCCATAAATTTAGACAACCCTTACAGGTCATCCAAGGTGATTTTTAAATTTCTGCATCGTTGGGAGTTTTGCAGCCCAGAACTTTGGCTTCACACACACACACACACACACACACACACACACACACACACACTCAGACACATAGACACACACACCTGTCATTGACATGTGCCTTTCTAAAACGCATAATATAAAGGGGGTGTATTTGTCTGTTCCGTTCCCTCAGAGACTAAAATCTCAGAATTCTACTTGTTCTATGAAAATAAGGGACACAAAATTTAAAAAGTGCTCATCCCTTTATGGGTGGCTTTTGGGGGAGGGCAGAAGAAGGACAGGGAAAGGAACCTTTTTTAAAAATCTTATTTTCAAGAACATTTAGGAGGGAAACAAATGAAATATTTTTACTTCTATTTTTTACAGTTGTTGTAAATTTAAATATATATTTTAAAGTATCGAGAGTTTTTAAAAGGGTGGGGGGTAGGGTTGTCCCATCAGCATGAGAACAACAAGCCATGGGTCTGAGAAGATGCAGTTTATCAGTCTGTTCCATCCAAATCCCAGGAGGTCCATTTTGAGAGAGGAATTATTGCAAGAACACCCACTAAAATCAATCAGAGCTCAGCTGACATATATAGGAATCTAACCGTCATAAAAGCCCAAATAACAAGGAGATTTCATCTACAGTCCACAGTTGCAAAAATTACAGAACACCTGGAGGAGGACTTCAGTGTGGAGCTCAACCTAAGTAGATGAAGCCAACCAGCTGTTTGGACAGCCAAACACAGAAGCCAATTGGAGAGGCACTGAAGAGGTAGCAGCCTTGTGAAAATGGAGGTGGATGGATTGCTATTACCTCATTTAACTAGACATCCAAAAACCCTCCTCTCTCACCTGTAGGACACAAAGAACTTCTTAGATGCTATTTTGCATGCCTTTTCATTGTGCATTGATCAATCTTTCCACATCATGGATGGAATCCTACTGAGAAGTTGGTTTGCAACACAGTTGGGTTTGGAATGTTAGTCACGTTGGTCTAACACTTCTGGAAGGAGTACCAGATTGAGGTAGGCAGGTCTAGAACATGGAACCACTTCTTTTTATAAAACAGAAAAATAAAATTGGGGTTGCAATGTAAACTTGCCCTTCCCCTCCGAGAGTTTCTTCACTGGGTGCTAGTCTACTTTCTGGTTTGTAGGTCATATATTATGTTGTCTTCTTCAAAAGAAAACCAGCCAATTTCAAATAAGCTACAGTATATTTTTAAGTAGATGGTCCCGAGTACCATAAATTAAAGCCTTCATACATATTGTAGCGCAGGTTTAAATCATGTTCAAGGACACTAGTCCTCCTGAGACTGTATGGCTTCTGGAATGAGAATGAGCTGCTTTTTCTAGACTTTTCTAGAGTCTGCAGGTTTTTTTTTCTCCTTTTAACGGCAGCTTATTTATGTACAGGAAAGGGTGCTTCCATGAAGACATGTGCCTCTTGAATTCTGCTGATCAAACTTTGATTAAGGATTAGAGCAGGCCAGGTAAATTCATCTTGCTCAGTTGGCATCCTTAAACCATGATTGTGTACCCCAAATCCTGTCTGCAGGGGTTTGTTCGGGGTTTCTTTTATGCTGTATTTTTAAAACTACCAAACGGGAATAAAAGAATTGAGCTAAATGTTGTCAACAGCTTAAACATACGAGAGTGTTGAAGGACGTCTCCACTGTTTCCAATGGCAGGATTTGAGCTGTACCAAAGGTTTATAAATCTATTTTATTTATCATCTGGGATGACAGGAAGAGAACAAATGTGATAGGCAATTGGGAGAATTTATTCTGAAGAATAGGAAATGGTTTGCAGCAAACAATTCTTGATTGCAAGGTGTTGTGCTCCCAAATCGTATGTGTGTTTGAAGCAGTCTCGGAGGGATCGAGGACAACTCGCCACAGCAAACTCACCGTGCGACAAGAGTTACACTGATACCAAAGAAATGGTGGAATAGAATCATTAAAGAAAGAATACAAATGTCAGCGTTCCAGCAACCCTCCACTCCGCCCAATAAGTCCGAGACAGATATTTTCTCAAAGGTTCCCTTTCATTTGGATAGTAACTAGCACAACTGGGGAATCCCAAATCTTACAATAAGTAAAAACTACAAATCCATCCCAGTGGTGGGATTCAAAATATTTTACTACCGGTTGCTTGGTAAGCAGGGCATTGGAAGGATACAATGCAAAATCCCATTCCCTCCCCACCCCACTAACCTGCTTTCCAGCTCCATTCTCCAGTGCAAGACAACAAAAGAAGACCCAGCCGATCAGCTGGGATTCAGGAGGCAGAGAATACATGGGGGCAGGGCCAGTCAGAGGTGGTGTTTGCCGGTTCTCCGAACTACTCAAAATTTCTGCTACCAGTTCCCCAGAACTGGTCAGAACCTCCTGAATACTACCTCTGATCCATTCCCTACACCCATCATCACATCATATGGCCCAGTCACCATCTGTCCTAAGTTAAGACTTCCTCTCACTTATGCACAAAGTAACATGACCTTGAATTAGAAAAATAATGTTATGTTTAACTACATACACTCCAAGAAGTTCCCTCCTCCAAGGCTCAAATGTGGCAGCGTGGGAGCATCTGGTCTCAATATGGCTTCCAAAGCTGACAACAAAAGGAACGAAAGAATGAGATGTGAATGACAAATTAAAGTAATTTTTAAATCATTTAAAAATAATTAAAAGTGTTGAATTGTCCTGCAACGAGTTGTTGCGTGGTGAATTGGCCATGGCAAGTTATCCCACAGTGAGTTAGCTGTAGTGAGTTGTCCCGTTGTGGTCTCAGAGGGCTAAAGATTTTTAGACATGAGGATTAGAATCTTCCAAAAGAAAAGGCTTTTTAATGCATTGGCCCCAACCAACAGCAGAGACTGCTATCGATTTACTCTAGATTCGTGGCCAAAGAGATTTATTTCTGCCAAGCAGAAATCCAACTAGGGAATTTTGTCTTTGCAATAGAGGTGGGATTCAGCAGGTTCTGAACAGTACTGGAGAACAGGTAGCAGAAATTTTGAGTAGTTCGGAGAACTGGCAAATCCCACCTCTGACTGGCCTCTCCCCCATCTATTCTCTGCCTCTTGAGTCCCAGCTGATCAGGTGGGTCTTCTTTTGTTGCCCTGAACAGGAGAACGGAGCTGGAAAGCAGGTTAGTGGGGTGGGGAGGGAATGGGGATTTTGCAGTATCCTTCCCCTGTCACGCCACCAAGCCACGCCCACAGAACCAGTAGTAAAAAAAATTGAATCCCACCACTACTTATCATAAACATGCAGCAGCAGAGAACGGCCCCCTGGATTTCATATGTTGTAGAATGAGATTTGAGTCGAAAAATTCAAAAGACCCCATCAAAAGCAGAGATGTCCGGTAGCTTTTAAAACTGGACTGTGCGCATCCAGAAACGTTGATCAATTGGACTTTTCAAATCAGTGCAGCGATTTGAAACTACAGCTCCAAATTGGGTCAAGAAGATGGATTAGAGAGAGGTCTTCAGACTTGGCAACTTTGAGACTTGTGGATTTCAACTCCTAGAGGAAGTGTGTGAATTGAAATCCACGAGTCCACAATTCTGGGAGTTGAAGTCCCCATGGCTGGCTGAGGAATTCTAGGAATTGAAGTCCATAAGTCTTAAGAGTTGCCAAAGTTAGAGACCCCTGGATGAGAGCAAACTGCTGAAATCATCCATTTGTTCAGATGGGCAGCTATATAAGTGGAGTGAGTGAATGAATGAATGAATGAATGAATGAATGAGTGAGTGAATGAAGGAATGAAGGAAGGAATGAGTGAATGAATGAATGAATGAATGAGTGAGTGAGTGAGTGAGTGAAGGAATAAGTGAATGAATGAATGAATGAATGAATGAAGGAAGGAAGGAAGGAAGGAAGGAAGGAAGGAAGGAATAAGTGAATGAATGAATGAGTGAGTGAGTGAATGAATGAATGAATGAATAAATGAATGAATGAATGAGTGAGTGAAGGAATAAGTGAATGAATGAAT